TTTTCTTACAAAGTATATCTAAAAGATTAAGAACTATACTTTTTCAATTTATAATAAAAATATATTAAATATGAAATATTAAGTAAAAACCGGGACAATTCATACCTGAGATTTATATTTAGAAAAATAAGAAACAATTCTTATAATTAATGGTATACGTATACATACATATGTATATGTTACATATAATAAATAAAATAACATTAGAACGCCAGCGCTCTTCTAGCAATCAAATTTAGTACTATTTTCGTATGCTTACATTCTAATAAGCTCTTTTACTACTTCAAATTTTTTAAATATTCTCCTATATATTCTACAAATTTTCATTTTCATAACAAAAATAATATTGAATCTCTAATTTGAAAATTATGTCTGTACATTATTACTTTGAATTTGAACATTATTTTTTGTTTCATTTAATTTTAATTTGATCATAGTCCCCGTTGACAGATCATTATTGCCTTCAGCATAGATTTGTAGTACTTCTTCTTCAAAAGTGGGATCCAGCAAAATAGCAATGCCTTTCATTCCTGACTGTGTGTACTTTTGAAATGTAACTTTGGACGCTTCCCATAAGTCCCGATTTTCTTTTAGCACGTAAACAAGCGGTTGTACCACAGGAAATAATATGGCAAGATTACTATAAAACAAGATAATAGAAACAGTAAAACAATTTTAAGACAAAAAATATATACACAATGAAACTGTTTTTACAGGTGCAAAACGATACGACGAGAATTGTGAAAAAATTATATTTCTTAATGCTATAAATAATGCTAGTATAAAAGTATACTCACGTAAAAAGAGGAAGAACTATATTTGAAATAAATTGAACTTGAAGATCTGGTATAGATGCGCGCTCTCTATCCATCATTTCTATAGGAGAACTGCCCATGCTTTTTTCTAAGTCCCCTTGTGAGAAAAACTCATCGTAAATTTTTTCCTAAATCAAAATACAAGAATCATAGAATGTACTTAACTCTTGAATATTTCAGCTAACACATTATCAGTTGATTATTATTGAACATTTGATATTCTACTTACTGCAGTCTTTTTTGAAACTTTCCAGTGTTTGGTTTGATCACTAAGATCGCAACACGTCATAAGCATATCAAAGAATAGTTTACGTTGTTTCGGATCACTTTTAATATAATTATTTTTTATCATCTCCTCCTGCATTTCTACAATACGAAAATGTGCTGCCAAATCAGTCGCGAGTATATTATTTCTTAACAAATCCAACGCTTCACTATATTCCTTGCTATTGAAATTTTCAAATATATTGCAACCTTCTGTATTTAAAATACACATAGTCTGGGCTAAATGATGTCTCTGTTAAATAACATAAATTAAAATTTTTTAATAAAAAAATTGTTCGTAACGTTTCCTCATTTTTGGAAATACAAATTTACCTCCATTACTGAACCTTCTGAACTGTAAAGACTCGCCAGTACTGTACTACATTTCGTTTGAAATGAATTATTAGTTCCTCTATGATCTATATCATGACACAAACAAGACATTAGAAAAACCAAAGCTTGTAAATGTGTCATATAATTTTCTGAAATAAGTTGTAGGTTTTCCATTAGTAAATACGCGAAATGTGCTACAGAGAATGCATGCATCCAATTGTGATAGGGTGCATCCCTGTATCCCTTCTTCACATATAGTATAAACCTATAAAATTTGTGTATATCAATTCTTTGATTAATTACGTTCTTTTTCTTTCAAACACTTCATTTTATTACCTAGCCACCGTAGATAGCTTCAACTTCCAGTGTTTAATCAAACCTAAATCATTAAACATTTTGATTGTATAACATGGCATGTGTTTGTAAGGTACACTTCTAGGTGTAAATTGAAATTTGTTAAAATCTTTTATATTGTGTTCATCTTTGCAATTTAATAATGCCTGAACATCGTCTTCTTCTACCTGAAAACACAACATTTCGTTTAGCGCCGCTAAACTAAATTCCTATAAGATTATAACTAGTATTAAGATTCTACCTTCATATGGTACATCATTATTTCATTACTAAGTTTATTTCTTGCTTGAGCATCCTGCATCTTTTTGTAAACAATGCTGTGCATTATAGAAATTCCACAATAAATGCTAAATGCTGTTGCAACTTCTTCATCAAAGACATCAAAGTATAATCCATCCTTTTTGTTACAGAGTTGTGCAACACCTTCAGCGAAAAACAATTGCAATGTCGTTATTTTATTCTACAACATTTAGAAACATTTCATTCGATACTTTTACAACAAATAACAACTGTGTTTTCACTCACCGACAATTCCATTTTCATCCCTAATTGGGAAGCATAAAATATTTCTAGTTCTAAAGCCTGTAACTTCATCTATTCCACGATAGAAAAGAGGATGCTCATATGCATTTCTAATATTAAGTAAGTTACCAGTAGTCGCGACATGACCTGCTATACCCTGCCCTATCGGTATTCTCATTTCTTTCACAGACTAGAAACAATCGGGTCTTAAACTATATTTACGAAGTGTAGATCTTCATCATGGAAACTTCAACTCACTTCTTTCATCGCAATACCATCAAACACTTTAGCGACTAAATCTTGTTGATCAGGGTCCAAAAGGAATAACGAGCATCGCTCAGCATTTGTTAGGTTTCTTACTTCTGCCATTATCTCCCGCAAAAGATCGGAAAAGTCTCCTGTTCATTGATATTGAATCACAGTACATATAGTTGCATATATTAACGTAGTTATTATATATTGTAATATATTTTCATGTATGTATTATATATATTTAAGAAACATTACCTAAATGTGTAAAAAGTTTCCTAGAGACAGCAAGCAAGCTTTGACACTGACGCTTCAGTCGAGTTTCTTCATAACATGTAAATGAGTTTAGAAGAAATCCTAAGCAGAATCTATATAAAAGAAGAATATCTAATAGTCTTACTTTTTCAAACTTATTGACTCATTTTTCATGCAGCAAAAAAGATACTTCACCGAAAACATTCTTGAACAATTTCTGTGCATTCGTCAGCAGCTTCATTTTTGTTATCATCAACCAAAGAAACAACCAAAGCTATGTAGTCTTGCTTAGGATGTTGTATAGGAATTGTTAAGAATGAATTTGGCATTGGACATATTGATTGAAGATGACGTAATATTTCTTCATCGAGCAATGTGATATCCATGGTGGTTGGTTCTTTATTTTGTACAGTCTTGTATAAAATATTATTTAATACCTGTAAAAAACATTTATTTAAATTTTAGTTATTTTCATAAATAAATCTTTCTGAACAAGATATTTATCTATTAAAACTTCTATTTCTACATGTATTTTCTTTAAGGTAGAAGTATTTATTATCTTATCAAAAGAGCTACTCATACACAATAAAAATAAATAATAAATAGTATAAACAATGATAAGTTATATCAGTAGCTTTGATAACATCTTTCATCAACCTGTGTAAGTTTGGTAATGTTATATCAATAGTAGTCTCATCTATGGCTTCCTTTATGTAGGTTTCTACGTATTCTATTTGCGGATTAGCCACTGTCAGTCAAACATACTACATTACCAATGTAGGACAATCCTTGAAACTATTCGCTTTCAAGCTCTAAATTTCATTTGAAGTTTTACTTTAAACAAATAACAGATAACACATTTCTTTTACTCAAAGACCGTACTTCTAATATACATATATTATTATGCACATCAAATTTATTATACACAATTTAAAAAAAGAAAAACATTTGTATATACTTAAATACAGATATAAACGGATATATAATTATATATACTTAATACTTACAGGCAATCTTAGTTCTCTCTCTAAAATTTGTTCTCCTATCACATGAATCACCATCTCTTCTGATTTTACTAGAATGGGTGCCAAGAAAGATATTTTCGCATTTGTTTCGGTTTGTATCTATAACATTAAAACGTCATTTAAAAAATCTACCATTCTACCATTAAACAACATAAAACTAAACTTTTGCATCGAGAACGAAACGGAACGTTTTTAAAAAGGGGCATGTTTGCCGCGATAAACTGTACACATATACACACACGCGCGCACGCACACACTCAACAGAGGAGGACATCAGCGTTACTCACGTATTTATTCAGCTTCTGCTGGACTTGCGGATATGAAAGATCGCAAAGTTCTTCGAGAAGCAGAAGTATTTTCCCCATGTTCGTCGCGCTCGAGTAAAACGAGCTCATCTTTTACTGTTTCCCAAATGCCTTTCCCAATGACAATCGTTATTAATCATTGATGTGCGTGATAATGCGATGCATCGGCTGCACTCGGACGTAGTAGCATTGTTTACGACAGTACCGTGAAAGAAAGTCCTTAGACACTTGTTCACAGAAACTCGAACTTGTTCAAGGAAACGGCTGTGTCGAACATTTTTCTGATTTTTTGCTTTACCGTCGAATCACAAGACAAAAATACGTGAACAACCGCGAGCCTCTGCGGAGGCCTGCATTCTGCACGCCTGCTGCACGGCTCCTCGATCATGAATAAACAGGTGACGTGCGCAGCTTGATCGTACGGCTTACCGCCGCGTTACGCTGAACTTTGAGATAGGAACGTTTCCAATATTGTTACATTCAATAGCTCGTTAAAGAGATTGAGGCAAATCCTATAACTACGGAAATAACATTTGCAATACAGTCGTAAACGAAGTGAACGTTGATTCAGTAAATAAAATTGATCGATCAAACGAAACTTAATATATTTAATAAAACAAGTTTCGTTTAATATATTTAATAAAACAAGTCAGTCATGTGAAATGCTCTTCTGAAGATTTTTGAACTTCCAAAATTCGACTTTGGCAAAAGAATACAAATTGTTCCGATTCCTTAAAGGAATTCCTCTTTCTAATTATTGTTTCTTCTTTGCGTGCCATTTTAAAGTAGATTAGATTATTTTATGATCTTAATTTTTTCTAAAACTGACGAAGAAATCTACATGCATCCAGGAAAAAACATTGTTTCAACTGATTTGTTGAAACGAATATTAGTGGGGTATTTTTTGCATAGTTATAGGATAGTTTGAATACATGACAGTGTGCGACCATTTGTCAATATGCGTGGACTTATTGTTGGCACGATATATTCCTGAACGAATTGAACCAATAAAATTCCAAGCACATGATGTTATTACTATGTTTATGATTTCTTGGCAATGAGTCAAAAGTTCTCTATAAAATTAAGGAAAAACAATCGTAGGTGATTAGCGCATATTGTTTTTTATGCAAACGAAATATTGCATTATGTCATCAATGCAAAAGATAATATCGATTGAACATTTCATTCGGATCATTAAAATCCGTCAGAGTGGAAAGCTGTTAATTATTGAATAATACAAATAAATGAACATAAAGTTTTTACATGTGCATTTATTTTTTTATAAATTATCATACAACTTAATTGTTTATATTTTTATGCGTAAAGTTAAATCTGTCGGTGTCTTCTTTCATGAGCCTAAACCTAAGTGAAGAAGTATACAAGTATAAAGAGTAACATTGGAAAGAATTATAGGATATAAATACAAGAAAAAATTATAACAAAGAATTACAAGAAATAAGGTATCCCTCGGCGATGCTTCCGTTCTTGAATCTGAAATTGTCTACATAAAGAAGTATGCAAATATAAGTAAATATAAGAAAGAATTACAATGTTATATTGTAAAATTATGTTGTGTAAAATAAACAATAGTAAGATAGTTATAAAACAAATTACAAAATATTAGTAAGATTATTCCAAAACTATTAGAAATGTTTGGAAAATAATAATAGATCTATCCTTTGTTTGTTTTTAAATAACATCAACATTGTTTAACACTGTCCAATAAAACCCAATACTGTCAAAAAAATTCTAATATTAGATAAAAAAAGAGAGAGCTGTCAAGCGCACAAAGACTGACGGCGAACTGATTGTGCATTACAGAGATTTAAGAGTGCTTTTTACTGGTTCTCCCAACTTTTCCTGATCATTAGTTCGCCATCTTTCGTCGTTATTCTCTACTACTTTCGACTCCTCTCTGCACTCGGTTGCATATGTAATTGCACAGGGGCTGTACTTCCAAAAACCTGACAAATCTAATGGGACTGAAATTTTGTATATAAGTTCCTTTTAGATAGAAATGTTTGCGAGAAGGATTTTTGGTATTGCAGCTTATGGGAATTTTTATCTAGGGCACAGATAAGGTATAGGATAGACATTGCAAGCTTATGGGACTCAGTGTCACATGTTCTGAATTACTGTCTGAAAATGGTAAACTAGTATACAAACGTATCGTCATGTTTTCGAACTCCGAATGCGCGAAGCTACTTACTATAAGTAAGTCGGTACATAATTTAAGTCAGTGTTCATTTGTTATCACCTTAAGGAATTCACCATCCGTGGCGCTACTACCGATGTTAGCGAATTTTTGCCTGGTAGGCAATTCTTATTATTATTTAAGTATTGCATTAAGGTTACGTTGGCACTGTTCTCTATATTTAATAGGTGTCGTGAGAGTCGTGTAGAATACTTTGTGGTATAAAGCAGACAGCCTAGAGTGCATCTTATTGTATTTAAAATGTTGTTTACTTAGATATGTAAACAATGATAATTTGCAATTACAGATTAAAATAGTCTGTTATATTACGCTATCAGCAAATCATATTATGAATTTAATTTGTGAAAGCACTATAGTTTAACACAATCACGTTTTAATATACTTATAACCTCAATAACAGAAAAAAGTGTTTGATTTGTTTTAATTGATTTTAAATAATGTTTGCTAGAATACGAAAATCCTCATTTAAATGTTCTGTCGTTGTCATAAAGAATCCCATACGTAAATATGCTCTTCCAGTTACCAAATCCGATCAGTCAGATAAAACAATTTATCCACCAATACTGGATCTTTGTAAAAAAGAGCAGCTTAGAAGAGAGAAGGAGGAATGGCACAATAAAATTAAAAAGCTGGAAAGTGTTGAAGAAAAATTATTTGGAATTAATATGCCTCGTTATTATGGATGGAGGTGTTTAGATTTAAATGATAAACATATTGCATATAATTCATTGGGTATGGCCCAATATATCACAAAAACACATATTGCAAGTGACCATAAGTTACCCGATTTTTATGACAAATTAATTACATCTGAACAGTTAGATACATTAGTACAAAGTATAAAAACGCCTATAGAAGATGCTATTATTTTTGAATATTGTAACAGATTGTGAGTATGAGCAGTTTAACAATCTTTGCATCGTTATTTAGATTTATAATTATGTGTAATAATCATAAATAAAGCATGAATTTGTTGTAATAAATTTTATGATACATCTAAAATGTTTATTTGTAAATTAAAGTTACAATAGCTCATTTAATTAATATATTATCTCCATTACAGAAGAACAGAAGAATCAGTGGAGAAAATATCTGAACTTCGTGCAAATGCAGTTGTTCATCAAATTAATAGAATATTATTGAGCGCTTTAGCGTCATTTTTTCCACATTTAATGGAGGTTCAGGTAGATTTTGAACCAAGACTAGAAGCATTCTGGTTTGTAGGTAAGGCTCCTAGAGGTTCTGCAAGTGATGCAATAGCAGAAGTAGAGCCAAAACCTTTCAAGAAATACCAATTAAAAGATATGCCTGTACAATACGTGGGTTCACCAATTCTACAATTAAGGAACAAATTTCCATTGAAAGAAGTCATTTCTCTTAATGAACTTTACACTTTGGAATTTAATGTTCCTAAATTCAACTTAAATCCTAAAGTGTTAGGGCATACATTTTTATATAAGCATGCTACCAGTATACCTGGTTTCTGGCCTGGTGATCCAGATGAATTTGGTTCCTTGTCTTATCACTATACTGATAATTTATTACATAGACCAAAAACTATGGATGATACATTGGATGCAGTCACAGTTCAGGCTATAATTGCATCCTATGGTTGGTTGTTGTCACAAGCTTGTTATCAAGGTATAAATAAATGTTTAATAATTTCTATATTTCATTAAAAAACCATATTTAACTAATACAAAAGAAGATGGAACTGCTTTTGATGTTATGATGATTTCAGGTTTTTCTACACTGAACGAAATTACATACCCATTAGTATCACAGACTGTTATAACAGATGGACAATCATGGTCATTTTGTACCTATCAATTAAATACAACATTATTACGATCACCATTCATGGATGAGAATCCTATGTGCAATACATGCTGGATAACCAAACCTGAGATATTGTTTGATACAGTGGAGAATGAGAAAATTCATGGCTTTAATGAAGATGCTTTAAAGACATTAATCAAATTTTATATTAATACACCCCAAGAAAGGACAGGCGTAAATTTGAAGCCTTATTTGGGAGAGTCTGTGAAACATATTGCTGATATTCCAGACAATGAGCGAAGAATATGGTTAGAAAAACATTTCAAGCATCTTATGACTAATAGACCAAGACATTTGTATGTAATCAGTTTATTTAAGTAATTTTATAATATGATTGAACATTCACCCACCATTATTTGTAGTTATAATTCATTACTTTCTGATGTATAGGCGAGTACCTGAAATACCTGATTGGCAAAAGATCTACATGATTAAACACAATACACGACCTCTAGAAAAAAGACGAGATCCATGGCAATTCGGTTTTAAACCATCTCAACGAAGATTGGACGATCATACACCTGTTTATATACCAAGATGTCTTAGGCTCCATCCAAATAAGCGAAAAATAGGACGTTGGGCAAAAACGTATTATCCAGATGCATAAAATATTTAATTGATGCAAAAATAAAGCAGTTAAATACATATGGTTTGTTTCATTTCACTGAAATATCTTTGTTAATTATTGGTACTGGCATAAATTATTGACTTTTTGATAGTTCATTTATATATTATTAATTGTAATAACCGTTATAATATTAGTGTTATCATTATTTCAAATGTTATAATTAAACACTTACGAAAGCACACTGTACTCACGTAAATATAATTTTGTTTATTGATATATCACAGTATTTATCGAATTCGGGGATAGCGTCAAGTGCATAGTACCTCTATCCAAATCTGTTAAGGTCATAGTCTTTGAAGAATTGTTCCTAGAATGTATATAAAATTTGGATTACGGTATAGAATCATTAAAAAATTTGGTAAGTTCATGTGTCAAAATAAGATAGTAATATTCAATGTAAAATTAAAAAGTGAAGGAAATTAATATTACCTATTACACAGTACAACAACAATTTCTGCCGAGGGTGTTACGAAAGCGGTCGTCTTAATGGTGGCAGTATTGGTGATAGATATTCTAACGGAATGTCTATCAACGAATCTACTAAAATGTTTAATAGCATAATACATAGGTGTTTTATAAAATTCATCCTTGCTTGGATTTACAATAACGGATGCGTCATTGGTATTATTGAGCCAATTTGGTGCACCCCTTTCATCAAGAGCTAGATTCCAGTCCATCCAGCCAACAGCCCAATGATTCATATACTTCAAGTAAAATATTTTCATTAGAAATTATGCTAAGAAAATTACGACGAGTTATAATTTCTTTACCTCAATAATACTTGAAGCATACATTTCAGCTCGCTTCCATATTTCTGATACGACCTTTGGAGTTCCCCATGTTCGCGGTACTAAACAAATAGATAATCAGGTGATGGTCCTTTGATTTTATTGTCAATAAATGTTAAGAAACTTTTGTATAAAGTCTGGTAACCTGTTTCTTCTCTAGTCTACTTGAATATGTTTGGTAATTTTTGCAAATTATAGAAATATTACCTAGTGATGCTTCTGTCAGGAGAATGATTTTATCTGGAAAACTATCGTGAGTCCAATCCAACACAGTTGCTGGCGTATTAGAATCTTCGTACCAATGAACAGCTGTTCCCGCAGCGTACTTTGATGCATTTCTATCCGTAAATGTTGGTGATACAAACCAGGGTAGCACATTTCTATTGTCATCAAGGAGTAAGATCAATGTTTCATTGTGACTCGATAACGCCAAACTGGGACCCATATAATTAGCGACCCAATCAGCCATGGTTTGAGGGGTCCACCCCATGGTATTAAGGGGAAAATGGAGTCTATAAGCATTTGTCGGTTCGTTACCCGTTGTAATAGCCCACATGTCAAGACCATTTTCTTTGTATGCATCCAAGAACTTCAGTAAGTAATCAGCATAAAGCTGATAATATTTTTTCTCTAAGAAACCTAGGTGGTAGTTGAGAAATTAAAATATGCCATCGTTTTATTGTATATCATATTTATTATATTATATTATTATACTATATGATACTTACCATATCCATTATATTTACCGTTAGTCTTCATCCACGTTGGAGCTGTCCATGCAGCGCTGAGTAGTTTCGTAGTAGGATTTAATTCGCGAGCCTTCTTTATGAAAGGAATTTTATATTCGTAATCTTCGTACGTGAGTTGAAAGTGTTCCAATGAAGTGTCGTTTATATGCTCATCGTACGTGTAAGCTCTCGTTGAAAAATCGGTGCCACCGATTGGGACACGAGCTAAATTGTATCTACTTCCCACTTTTGGATCATAGTATGTCCTACGGATAATGAAAATTTCAATCGATTGCGCTTTCGGCAGATATAAGATAATGTATATTACGGTAATATAATAACTGATTACCGTATCAGCTGATCTTGCGTAGCCGGACTAAGTTTCCTTAAGTTAATACCAACAGAGTCAGTGAACGCACCGCCAAACCCAAGAATCGTTTGATATTTTTTTTTACTGTTTAAGATTAAATGTTCTCCGGAAACAGAGGAAGTTTTGTTTGAGTTAAATTTCCCAGTTGTCATTCGTAGCCTGTCTCCTCCTTTATTTGAGACATACCAGTAGAAGCTTCCTTTTTCCGGAACAATTGGTTCGTTTTCTGGTGTATCATCGCAATATGTAGAATTGCAAATACATGCGATTACATTTCCGTCGATAGTGTACGGTACACAATCTTTCGCACTAACTGCAAATTAGGGAGGCATTGTGAGATATTCTCGAATGGTGCTGATAGCGATAACGATGATAATGTTAACAAAAAGAAAATGAGATCAGAACAGAATAATGACATTAACTGCACAAGTATCACAAAATAATATCCGCAGAAATACCTGTAACGAAGAATAATATATACCTGTAACGAAGAAAAAGACAAAAACGAGGAATGTTCCCCACATGTCTTTGAATATTCGTTGTTGCAGGTAAAATCGAACAAGTCCGAGATAGCCAATGGTTTGCTAACCGTATTTATACACGTTACCGTACATTTTTGTGTCTGTTAGGCAAAAAATTGTTGAGGCTGACACGATGCTACAACTGAGACTATATTTCGTTGTTTTTACGGCGGTAGTGGCGCGCATAATTATATCGTATATAATTCCTTGACTTCCCAGAATTTTTGAAACCCTATTAACATTCATAGCAAACGACTGGTTATCGATAGACATAATTTGTTTTGTAGTCAGTAAATACTGGTACACTAAACAGTGTGGTACTACACATATGATAATAAAGAGGCTTACACGGGATGATTCATTGTTGATTTAGGATTCATAAGTAATGCCAACGTTTATGTATCAAGCAAAGAGTAATAGACGTTTATTTTCATTGAGTAATACAATTATACTGGATTATGCATATTATATAAAACATACGGAATTATTGCTTGTATACCACAGTATTCATGGAAAGCGGAGACAATTTCAGCTCAATCGAACCCTTTTCTGCATCCGTTATGGTTACGGAGTTCGGAGTTGATTCTCTGTAACACGAAAGGAAAGAGTAATAATTACTGCAGATGAAATAGTATATAAAAGTTTGTCGACTTACGTGTTGTAAAGCACAATTACAACTTCCTTTGAAGGAGTCGTAAACGCTGAAGTCTTGATAGTGTCCGTATCGTCGATAGAAACTCTGACAGAACCTCTGTCAACGAACTTACTGACATGCGCGATACCATAGTACATAGGTAATTTGTAAAATTCATCTTTCTCTGGATTCACGACAATAGGTGCGTTGAGGGTATTGTCCATCCAAGTTGGTCCACCTTCTCTGTCTAGAACCAAATTCCAATCTACCCATCCGACGGACCAATTGTTCAAATACTGAAAGAATATCATGATATCGTTGGTTAAAAAATCATATTTGATAACAGACTCGGGCTTACGTGCCACTGCGTAAGTAACAAATAGTTAAACAAGCTGTTTCGTCATACCTGCATTATGCTTAACATATACCGTGCTCCTAGATCCCACATATCTGATGCCATAGTGGGTCTTCCCCAATATGTGGGGCCTAAATGCATACAACATGGAACGATTGTGTTATTTGGCAAAGAAACGTTGTAACATATATCAAAATATATCTAAATTTTCAAAAGACTGTCACTCACCCTGCGACGCCTCAGTCATGAGTATGATTTTATTTGGAAACAGATCGTGAGTTTCATCTAGTACAGTGATTGGAGCTTCGTAAGGGAAGTACCAATGAACGGCTGTTCCGATGGTGTATTTTGACGACGATTTCTGCCCTAATATAGGTTTCACGAAATTTGGTAACAAATATCTATCGTCGTCGAGAGCTAGGATGACTGTCTGGTTGCTCTTCGATGCAGCCAAAGTCGGCCCCAAGTTGTTAGCAACCCATTCGGCCATAGTTTCTGGTGTCCAACCCATAGAAATTACATACGGCGATTTGATTTGCGTTGAGATCGTTGGTTCGTTGCCTGTGGTGATGGCCCATATATCGAGACCATGTTTCTGATATGCTAACGCAAATTTAGTCAAGTAATTGGCGAACGTCTGATAATATTCTTTCTTCAGGAACCCTAAACAAACACACCGACATCAAAAGCTTCCTTCATTTTTGTTCCTATAGCAACAGTATTTTAATATATAATCTCATTTACCAAATTTGGCGTATTCTCCGGAGGTTTTCATCCAACCGGGTGCTGACCATGCGGCGGCGTAGAATTTTGTAGTAGGATTCAGTTTTTGAGCTTGTCTAGCGTATGGGATTTTATATTTGTGATCCTCCGGCTGGAGAGACCAGAATCGCAGCGCCTTATCGTCGGTGACATCGTCGTACGAGTAAGGTCTGATTGAGAAATCGGTACCAGCGATCGGGAATCTGCCCATGTTATAGTTACTTCCTACTTTCGGATCGTAGTATGTACTGTGAACAAAGAAAACTATCAATGCCCCAGGTGCTTTTGAATAGAACAGAACATTTATATTATTAAATTCCCCAGTGCAATGTTAAAATTGCGCTGATCGAAGGTGTTTGTGATTACCGCATCAGTTGATCTTGCGTGGCCCGGCTGAGTTTATTGATGTTCATACCGGTGGAGTCGGTAAAAGCACCACCGAAACCGAGAATCGTTTGATATTTCTTCTTCCTGTCGAGGACTAAATTCACTTTGGAAGATGATTTTTTGGATTTCGCCTTGAATGTCCCTTCCGACTGCTCCAACCTGAGTCCAGCCTTGTTTGTTTGGTACCAATAATATTCATTCTCTTGCAGGGTGAGTGATTGATCGTTCAGTGTATAATCGCAATATGTTGCATTGCAAACGCATGCGACCAGGGTGTTGTCGACGGTATAAGGTACACACGGTTCCGTGTTACCTATAATCAACAAAGTTGCCGTAGTATGATTCGATCGTGTAGATATAATCTAGTTTACGGAGAAATCAAAATTATTCAACTGTACCTTCGGCGAAGAGGATCGCGGTAAGCAGGAGTGTCTTCCACATGCTTGTGATTCGTATCGAAGTACTGATTGAATCGAGTTGAGGATCATATTATTATATACCCGCGGGCAGAGTATTTTCGAATCGGATAGGAGATGTATGCTAATTTGTTCACTGATGCGTTAACAGCAGATGTTCAGCGTATAGGTAGCGCGACGAATGTAAAATACGTTTGACAGATTATTGAATTTAGTCCAATAAATGTGTACATTCCTAAATTGGCGTCGTTGTTATCGATTTAAGCACGTTCGCGCAAACATTTGCCATTAAGAACTGATGAATCACGCGATACACGGGTCATTAAATTTAATGAAAGGGTGACCGTTTTAAATAAAATAATTTTGAAACCAGAAGAAATGAACGTGTACACTCGAAGGTAATAACAAGAGAACGAGAGGTGGTGATAGGGTATCTGAGCGTTGAGACCAGTCACAAACTCTTCGGACATCTTCTCAATATTCCGAAGTTTCTTCAGATTGATCCGAAATCCTATGTGCCTGGGTTTACATGAAGTTATAGATTTATATAAAGAAAGAGTTATGAATAGGAGAAATATAGGGAACGAAATGAACAGTCGTAAATACAGTTAACGAAAAAGGAAATTTTATTTTTATCCATTTATGTCAAATATATTGTTGATAAGTAGAACCATGGCGGCTTGTGTAATATATTTTTACAGCTTGTATATTAAAGTATTTATCGATTTTGGAGACAATTGTATAGAAAGATTATGTTTCTCTGTGTCTCTCAGAACCACTTTATGTGCGACGACATCCCTGTAATATAAAATGGAACGTTGAGTAAAGCACAGAACAACGAGAGATCGATTAATCTAGATATCTTTATGGAAGAATAAATTCTTACCTGTTATATAGCAAAACAACAGTTTCAGAGGATGGTGTAGTAAAGGCTAAGCCTTGGATAGGGTCGTCGTCGGAATGGATGTTCATGGAAATTCTATAAGAGTCCCTAACCACGAATCTGCTCACATGCGCGAGGGCGTAATACATTGGTTGCTTATAAAATTCGTCTGCATCCGCGTTGACGAGGATAGACGTGTCAAGGAAATTTCTAGACCAGGTCGGCCCACCGATCGTATCCAGCGCTATGTTCCACTCTATCCAGCCAGCATACCGATGGCTAAGATACTTGAATGGAAGCGATTTTATTTATTTAAAGAAACACTTAATCCCTTTACTCGTAATCGAACCAAACAAGAAAACACGATTCACCTGTATTATGCTGGTAATATAAGTCTCCGCTCGCTTCCATGATCCCATCACAACTTTTTCGGTTTCATAGACTCCTGTTTGTGCGAACATAGGTGTTATACAGGTAATTTAACGATGATACGGTATAAAGTTCATCTGGAAACGCTTGGTACTCGTTTACGAAAACTAATGTGTCTACTTATCAAACGATGAGAAATACAGCGGCGTTCAAAAATTCCCGAGCAGATCGTTTTTGGAGCTTTTCTTACGCAATAAAGGCTTTAAGAACTTTTGTTGTGACATATAAAGGACTCATTGCATGAGAGGATATACTGTAAAAAGATCAACATCGTCTATTCTTTATACATATGTTTTCAGAAATAGGTAACTCAGCATGTTCAAAGGTTTTCAGCCAGAGTATTTAGAAAAGAAGATAATTCTTGTTTTCTATAATAATAATAATAATTGAATGCGGTAATTTTGTGATATTTTCTGATTTTTCTCAATTTTAAGTGAATAAATAATATTCTTTTTAATTATTAACAGATTTACTGGTTTCTTCGTTTTTTCTAGGTCGGCAAGTCCTTTTTACAGCTTCTGAATATGTTGTATAATCATCTCAGAAATCAAAACATTAATTTTCTCAATTTTTGTTTTCTCAATTTAACATTGCTTTCTGAGCGACTCATATTATACTTCGCGTTTTGCGGCCATTTGCATTAACGACAGCGGCACATCGACGTGGCTCGATTAACCAAAAACGATCTGGTCAAGAATTTTTGAACGCCACTGTATTTTTACAATCGTGGGTGTAATTTACTTATTTCTCTTGAGCAATGTACAAATACAATTTAACGATTTAGGCGACTGGAAGGTACGTACCGTTGCTTCACAGATATCTCGGTATGTCTTACCTATGGATGCTTCCGTCATCAGAAGAAACTTATCGGGGAACGCCTCTTCTAGCGAGGTGAAAACTGCATCCACTAGATTTGCATCATTATACCAATGGGTAGCTATACCTGCAACGTATTGTCTTGCCTTTTCATTCGAAAACATCTGCTCCATAAACGATTGTACTAGAGGCGTTTGATCATCTGGGGCCAGAATCAACGTGTCGTTGTGGTCGGACTTGGTCAGAGTTGGTTCCAAGTTCTCAACGATCCACGTGGCCAGACTGTCGGGTGTCCATCCCATTTTGTTCAAAAGAATTTTGACTGAAAAAGCGGTCGACGGTTCGTTGCCTGTCGTAATAGCCGCTACTTTGATTCCCTTCGCCTTATATTCGTCCAAGAATTTCACCAGATAGTCGGCGTAGACTTGAAAGTATTCCATCTTCAAGAGACCTAATCAATAATTATTAGAGCGCGATGTAGACAATTCTCCTGACGCACACGTAATATACGGATGCATGCGCGCGCCGTACGCGTAGATGTAACAATTACCGAAATTTCCGGTGAGCGAGTCCACCGTTTTCATCCATGCCGGCGCAGACCAAGTACTAGCAATAAACTTCAGGTCTGGTTCTAGTTTCATAGCTTCCAGTAAAAGGGGTATTTTATACTTGTAATCTTCTTCCGCGAGCGCAAAATGTTCCAGCGAGGCATCGTCGTCGTAGTCGTCGTACGAGTAAATTCTCGTCGAGAAATCGGTACCACCGATCGGTATGCGGACGACTGTAAATTTAGCTCCCGAATTTCCAAAATATGATCTATAGACGAAGAAACTCGCGTAAACAGTCGTGCCGTTTCAATATAGAACGAAGTCTTTATAGAGTTACGTTTGATAATGAACACGACGATTCCTTTAAACAGCCGAACATAAGGATAATTTGTTATTATACTTGTTCAGACGGAAATCATACATTTTCTTTTAATTATTCGACATATAGTACCTATCGCGTGGACAGTAATAATCTTTTCTTTCGTAGGAACTGTTAATTATTCGATAAATTGAATGTTGATCATTACTCAAGCAATTTCTGTTGAGTCCCCGGGCTAAGGTTCATTATGTTCATGCCAGAAGAATCAGTCATTGCACCTCCGAAACCAATGATCCGTTGATATTTTATTGAGCTATCTATGTCTATGGTTATATTGTGCGACGATTTTTCTTCAGTATCGAACTGTGCCGTCTTTAACGACAGCCTCTGCCCTTCTTTGTTCGTAACATACCAATTGACCTTTCCCCCGCCTGGGCTTTTCACGTTTTCCAGAAAATTATCACAATACGTTGCATTGCAAACGCATACGATCCCATCGTTTCCGAAACTACGAGGAACGCAGCCATTCGCGTTACCTGTAAGCGATAACAAACATTATAGCGGCTGCGATTTTCGATCATCGAATTGAACTTCTCGCAGAATGCCGAATTGATTAGATTTACTTTTTACCAAAACGAAGACAACTAGAAACAATAGCCGCAACATGTTTTCGTCCGCTGCTTGTCACTAGTATCAATCCCTGAACTGCACGAAACAAAGGTGACCGGCGGAACTTATATGTTCAGGTATCTTTGTACTTTGAACGACAAGAGGAAAATTGTATATTTCATTATCACATTACAAATTTGTCGATGACTGCATTTTTTGGTATATTTCAAACTTAAATTTTATCCTTTTTTATCTATTCTCAACTTTGCATCTTATTTCTCATCCGTGCTATATACATAATAATGTGAACGTCCTTCAGAAATGCCCTTCGAATTGTTTCTGTAATTTCAAAAACCCAAATTACCAACGGTCAGACTTGGCGATTTTCAAGTGATTAATTGCCGTAACCGCGGAAGGCTAAATGGTTACACGTGGATGGAACAAAAGGTAACAGTACAGTCACAGCAAAAAGTTACCGTGTCCGATAATTTTGCTAATTCGTTGAAAAGACAATACACGAGACTCCTTAGTTTCCACGGGTTTCATTCGACGAGCGAGCGTACTAATTGTTTCGGATTTATTCGAATATAGTTGATACGCCGTTATCGGCCTGTCCATCGACGTGTGACATTCGTGTTTATCATTTAGTTTCTTCCTCATGTGCTTAGAGGAAATTTATACTCGAACGATACGTATGTTAATTTCGAAACAATTACATGTACCGGTGCTATACATGTTAAATATTTCCAACGTCGAAGCAAGCAAGAAGTGGGTACAATGGGAAAGTAAATTCTATTACACGTTCACTTTTAAAAAAGCAATATTTTTATTAATCAGAATACAAAAATGAATCGATCTTCTATTGTCCATAAATTATAGTGTTCATAGATTGTGCTGGTAACTCCAGATGAATCGGACCCTTCTTCGTATCCTTGATAACGACATTCCTTGGTATACTCCATCTGAAAAGCATACAAGTATATTCATTTTCCGACTCCGTCCCGTATGAACGTTGAAATCCATTAACACGTCGAACGCCGCACAATTTCATACAGCAAAATACACAAAATGGAAAAAATATAATATCAGATCATTTCATTGAATTGCACTATTATCATTACATGTTCATCTAGCTGAATGTCAGTGCATTATGTAGTATTATCTATAATATAGAAATGTTTTCAAATAATCAACGTTTAATTGAATGAATTATAGGCATTTAACGTGTTAAGTGTTACAACCGAAAGCGGCAGAACTTACTTGTTGTAGAGTACGATGACGGTTTCGTTCGATGGCGTCACGAATGCCGCAGACTTAACCATGACGTCATCGGTCATAGAAACCCTAACGGAACCTCTCACAACGAATCTACTGACATGCTTGAGAGCGTAATACATTGGCTGCTTGTAGAATTCGTCAGACGTGGAGTTCACGATAATCGGGGAGTCAACGAAATTGTTAATCCAATTCGGTCCACCGCTCTTGTCTAGCGCCAAATTCCAATCGACCCATCCAACCGACCAATGGTTCAGGTACTGGAAACGTACGGAATATTACATCGCAGCTAATTAACTGTTTGAGTAGCAGAGGTTTTTAGCACGTTGACTGCCACGGTGGTCACCGATGACCGGAGCTTTCAAATTACTCGAAAACAATTGTAATTCGTAACATAACCGGCGTCAAATGAAAATGTTTAATAACTCAAATAACTGGATAGTGACCTAATAATCGTGTACCAAATAATTGATAATTATCCCTTTCTATTTTTCCTACAAAAGAATAAGCGATACGTAAACGCTGAAGTTTCTCGTGGCAGTCGACGTGTTGAAAAAACGGTCGAAAGAAGCCAGCAGCGCAATAGCGTTTTCTGAATGGGATGCGAAAAGATCCAAGCAGCGTGACAGCGCTTGTTCTAATCTATGTTAACACTGTTATGTATACATTGATTTATAGTAGGCAACAAGGAAATACAAAATGTATTACTTGGATTACCTACATACAAAAAAAGTAGCGCTGCGACGTACATGCGTCTGACAAGTTGCGCGCGTTTCAAACGCGCCGGGTTTTTTCGACGTGAAATCTGAGGAGCGCAAACTCGGCGCGTGGTACTCAAACGGTTAATGATCATCGTACACAAGTACGCGAGTAATAGTCACGAACGAAATCTAAACAACGTTTTTGCTTACCTCCAGTATGCTTAGAATATACGTTTCTCCTCGATCCCATGATCCCAGGTCGACGTGACGAAGGGCGGGCACGGTTCCTGCGCAACGAATGAAGCAATTAACGTCTGTCCAGAAGGAAGATGACACTTATACGCCTACCTGTGCATGCTTCCGTCATCAAAATGAATTTGTCTGGGAACGCTTCGTGCGTTAGGTCCAATAAGCCCGCCGGTGCTAACGCATCAGCGTAATAGTGGACGGCTGTACCCGCAATGTACTTCGACATGTTGTGCCGAGGATAGGCGTTCTTAGCGAACCAAGGTAAGAAAATCCTTTGGTCGTCGAGGCCCATGATAATTGTATCGTTGTGATCCGATGCTTCCAAAATTGGACCGAAGTGTTCGCCGACCCACTCCGACACTGTTGGCGGTGTCCATCCCAAGCTGTTCAGCTTGTCGAAAGGTATGAACGCATTTATCGGCTCGTTACCGGTCGATATACCCCATATGTTAACACCGTTCTTCCTATACTCGTCCAAGAACTTTACGAGATAATTGCTGTAAACGTCATAGTACTTCCTGTCCAAGAAACCTGCGAAATCGTTTGGTCTCGATCAAAGAAATCGATGATGCTACGCACATCTATCCGATGATGCACGACCGTCGCGACACTCACCGAATCCATTGATTTCGTCGTTGGTCTTCATCCATCTCGGAGGTGACCAGGCGGCGCTGAAGAATTTCACCTCGGGATTCAGTTCGTGTGCTTTTCGCATAAGCGGCAACTTGTACTGGTAATCTTCCTGGGCGAGTGAGAAATGTTCCAGTGTATCGTCGTCCTGGGTGTCGTCGTACGTGTACACTCTCGTCGAGAAATCGGAAGAGCCGATTGGCACGCGACCCAACATGTATCCGCTTCCTTCTTTCGTATCGAAGTATGCCCTACGAGCAATCGGATTCATTATTTTCGCAATCAGTATAGATTTTCAGTGGCAGTTTTACAATCTACAGTAGTTACCTCATTAGCTGGTCCTGAGTCGCGTTGGAGAGACTCGTGATGTGCATACCGGCGGAATCCGTGAACGCGCCGCCAAACCCAAGGATTTTTTGATATCTAACCGTTCTGTCTACGGTTAGAGTCAAAGTAAAAAGGTTGCTGTGAGCGTCGCCGAACTCTTTCTCCTTCAAGCTCAATCGTTCGCCGTCCTTCGTCGAGACGTACCAATAGAATCTTCCATTCGGCGGCACCTTCGGATCGGCATCCGGCGTTGTGTCGCAGTACGTTGAGTTGCAGACGCATACTATTTTGTTGTGCCCGAAGCTGCGGGGCACGCACTCCTTCGACCAGCCTACGATTAGACGAGTCGAGCGTCAGTACCTTGAATCGATTCTTTTCACGTGAATTATTCGTACCTTCGGCTAGGAAGAAGCCAATCAGCAGCGCCGCTTTCCACATGGTCCTAGATCTTTCTTCGGCGACGATTGTAACGAGATTACTGGAAACGAGGAACTGTCGGATTTTACATGTTTCGTGCGCAAATGTACCATTTATATGACATCGCCTAATTTACGGTAATTTTTCGTTATCTTCTAGTTCAGCTCAGCAATTTACGTAATACGGTTTTATTTATGGCACACTGCCATCGTAAAAGTTGACAGACTTATTCGAGTAACACCTGTTTAATCTTTCTACGTTTGCATTGGTTTATCGCGAGTCGACAGTGTTTATATAGTAAATCACACGGTTACACGTTAGAAGTCTTAACTCGTCAGATCTAGCTGCGACAACATATTAGCGTGCAAAAATGATCGTTTCGTATTAAGGGCTTTAGGCGCGGTTAGATACGAGCGCTTCAACGTATCGTACAAACAATGAAAAACTCGCACAATCATTGGTCGGACATGTCCGTGGAAAAGTCTCAGGCGTACTGAGGCTCATACTGTGCGGCTTTCGTGCTTTGGCCAATGTACGCTAAGTTAGAATGGTAGAGTAGGCTCGGTAATTATGGCAACAGTGACACTTCTGTTTCAGCGTTCCCTTGTCATTAGCCGAGTCGGGCAACGAAGCACGCGAGCGGAATTGAACGCGATTCAGTAAGATGCAACGAACATTGGCGTCGGATTTCATTTCGGCCGTTTTCTGGACAAAACTCGGTAACTGAATAAGGATGATAGAAAAAAGTGCTTCAGACAAAAGCTGTAAGGTTAGAGCTAAGCGCGTGGTGGTTATATTTTTTTACATTATGAGTGATACAGGAAAGTGCTTCAGACAAAGGTCGTAAGGCATAGAGCTGAGCATATGGTGGTTAGATTTTTTACATTACAGTGGTGTGAAGTTTTTTCAATGACAATAGATATTTCGCGTTTCGAAGCCAACGTTATGTAGAGAAACGGAACTTATTTGTTGGAAATTTTGGTAACCTTCAATTCCCGTTATGCGAATTTTGTGATTTTGTGGATTCATCTTACACTTCTGCCCGCTTAACTTCTTGCACCCCGAATTTCTTTAGCACTTTCTTCTCGATAATTCTGTATTGTTACGACATCTAATTTGAACTGCATTTAAAAAAATAGTTAGTTTGTAGAAAGCAGTGTAGACGATTCTTTCTATTAAGAATATTGAAAATAACATAATAATATAATCTATTTTAAAGATATTTATATTATATTTGTAATATCCTTCACAAAGAAGCACACTTCGATTGCAAGCCACCTACGACATGGAAGCGCAAAGGGTTAATTTGGCCAAGACGCGAAACTCACTTTGTGCGGAATACTTGAAACTCGAATCAGGGAAATATTTATACTAGACATGATTTCACTCCCTTCTCCATTAACCGTGTTAAAAATTGCTTTTATCGGAGACCTTCACTTAACATCGCAAATTATATGTACTCTGGAATATTCAACGATAATATTCATTCCGTAACATATTCAAGTTTATCGTTGGCTATAAACAATGTGCAAGGAAGTGGTCACATGTCACCTTCGGTGCCGGTACTTAATATGTAATTATGATTACATTAACAAGTTTAGTGCCATGTGTACCACATATGACACACGACAATTTTTATTAGGAAAAATTTTTGATGGTCACGGATAGCGGTGTACGTTACGAAACAGTGAAAATATAAAGAAATAATATCAGAATATATAAAAATTATGAATATAACTTAATATTTTATTAAAAAAATCAATATAGTTCATAAGCAAAGCACAACCGAAATTTCCGTGGCACGGAACTGTGTCAACACGTTGACTGCCACGAGAATTTTGAGCGTTTTGTTGTAGTAAGATTAATTCCTTTATAATAGAAGAAAATGTTACTGAATCAAAATATTTAGTAACGCAAGAAGCTAGATAATAGTGTAATATGAGTACCGTAATACCAAAACAATAATAATTATTTTTAATACTATTATAATAAGAAAATTGATATTGAATCAAAATATTTAGTAACGCAAGAAGCTAGATAATAATGTAATATGAGTACCGTAACACCAAAACATTAATAATTATTTCTAACACTAATTTTCTTATAGTAATTGTTTTCAAGCATTTTGGAAGTTCCGGTCACCGGTGACCACCGTAGTAGTCAACGTGTCAACGACAGTGTATCCGAGTATTACACAACGTTATTGCGTTCGCATCGAAACTTTTGTACAATCACTGGCGATCGTCGATTGTTTTTGACTTCTCTGTGGAGGATCCGATACCAAGTCGATAATCGACGGCCGCAAGAAACTGATACGAGCGAACGAATCTATGCGACGCGCGGCGTCCGTGGGCTCTATAGGTTTCACTTCCGCGCGCCAGTATTGTATCGATTCTGACGAAGTCAATTGTTTCAATTTTCCGAAGAATCGGCGGGATGAGACTTTAAGCAGAGGGGCGACGTTCGCCGCGACTTTTCTTTCAGACACGGTTTTAACGATTTTCTTTAAATCTCACGTTATTCGGGAACAATACGCCGCCCCCATCCTTTGTTCGATGGATTAATGCGACGTTTAAGACGTATTTTCATTTTGAGTGGTATTCTTTTCTGTTCAATCCGAACGTGAACGAACAATATGTAAGCGTTGAAACGTTTAACGCTCGCGGAGTCCATTGGGACGCGTTTAAGGGACTCGCGGGAATCTCGGGCGCGTTATCGCGACGAAACGAAACCGCGCGATCACAGCGGTACATTCTCTTGAACCGTTTAAAGTCTGTGCTCGATGGTATCACGGCTGCAACGACGATATTCCAATGTGTATAGGTGCCGCGTGGAATGAACGATCCTTACGCAAAGTCGGGCAGCTGCGTTTAACGATTCGATCGATTCCAATAGCAACGTCAAATTTACATTCCGTCGCAACACAAACGAGAAAACCACCGATACTTCAGCGGAACGGCGAAATCAAATTCCGAACAATTATATCGCGATCCGGTGTTTCCATTTGTTATTTTTAAAATACCATCTGGAAATTTTGGACCGGCCGCGGTTCGGTTCCATCGAAGCAAACGTAACGTGAACGACCTTTCCAGCAGGCGTTTGCATCCGAATCTTTCCATATTTAAATTCGAACGATAAGAATGTTTAGTTTATCTGCTCGATAACGACAGCTATCTGCAGCGTTTTAATCCTATAACTTCCATCCGTTCTTCCGACACGCCAGACAAACGAGCAAACACCTTTTCGAGTGATTTACCAGGAATTTTTCAATAAGTTTGCCTAGATTACATTTCGATTTTAACCAGTCATCAGGTGTTCCGCTCAAACGCCGTTTCTCGCTGATACATACATTACAACTTTCGAACTTTACCAATTGCATCGAATATATTTAAGATAAACCCGATATCTCGGATGAGCTGTCGCAAATATTTGCATTCTTCGATTCACCAGTGATAGCGACGGTGACTTGAACAAGAGATCGAAAGATTACGCTGCGCGGGGAAAGCACGGTAGTAACAGTCTGTACTGCAATACGATTTTTCACCGAGACTCGAAAACTTATTAACGCACACACGGATTCGGCGAGCGGTAAGTAACTGGGAAACGAGTTCTTTTCCATTCGACGGCGAAAACGCGTCGGGCATTCGGCGTCGCTCGAATTATTCGTGGAATTTAACGGGCCTTGACCGAGCTAACGTAGCGTGACGACCAGGAAGCGGTTTTTAGATAAATAGAGGACTGAGATCTCGAGGACAGGCCGGACGGACGGGACAATTCGTTCCCCCTCGGAAGCAGCGGCGCGAACAGACAGCGAAATCCCTCCGAAATTACTCGCCCGGAGGACGGGGAAACCAGAGGGGTAACAGGAGGCTAACGGATAGGTTTTATGCGCGCGTTAAACGGATTGTTTTGGGACGCGGACAGTTCGATAAGTGGATACGATACGGCCGAGGGAAGTCCGTGAGCTTTAACAAATCGAAGAGTGCCACCCTTCGTCGCGCGGCGTACGATCCGAAAGATCGACTTCCCTAATCTGCGCCATCCGTCGGCGATAAGGAAATTTCATCCTGGATTCAGATTGATTCGAGCATTTTCTCCGTTTCCGGCGTGCTCTAGCCCCGAAATCCCGAGCGTACGGGTAAGTAGAATAAACTGGTATGGCCAGACCGCGAGCATATAGGAAACTTTCCTCCGTAAACCCGTAAATGGTATTATAAGTAGCCATTTGTGCGCAGGTATCGCGCGTATTTGGTTTCCCAGCCGGAGAACCGTGACGCTCTGTCGCGTTAAACGCTTCTTTCGGCGCACGCATCATAGTTTCCTCCGTTTTATTCCGCGAGCTGAGCGTTACGGAGAAATCACGAAAAGCGACACGCTTAATCTTGCGTAGCCTGTCGCACGGCGTGCAAGACAACATCCTGCGGTTATGTAAATGGCCGGCGAAACTTTTTAATGAAAATTTGTAATCTCGAATTTTCTAACAACTCGAAACTTTCGTGATGCGATGAAAATGTTAATCAAACGGTGCCTCCGCGTTTCGGCGTAACATCCAGTATCTAATGCGGTTTGTCGTTTGCATTCGAATGTCCCTTCTCCCCTCCTTTATCGTTTCGCGTTTATTTAAACGTACGATACCCGTCGCGCTTACAGCGGGATAATAAACGACTTTTTGCTCGTTGCTTTCTCGGACGGTCGCCGGAGTCTTAACCGTTGCGCTGTTGTTCGACCGAGTTGACGTTTGAACAGAAAGGGGCGTGCTAGCAGAAGGTTGTCACAGTTCCTCGATGCATGATTCATTTCATTGTACTCCGAGTATCTATTCGTAGAGACGAAACACCGATTTATATTCGTTATTAGCTGTATAAGTTGCAGCGTCTTCTTATGCGACGTGCATTTATATTGATCCTTAAAATACTAGCCCGGACTATTCTGGAAAGGTGCTCGGTGTGCCTTAGAATACGTGTTACTTTAATTTCGGCTGAACCGAAATTAAACTCGACCAAGATAAATAACGGTGTCAAGCTGGCTTCGTTGTTGCGAACGCGTGAAATGTAAATTACTCGAAATTAAGGCGCAGGCCGACGGTTAGGTCCCTATTAAATGTATAAATACACATGGCCTGGAACTTGGGCCGGGTTAGGTCGGTTTCTAGAGAGAACCACTCGTGATTCGTGATTCGTGATTCGTGATTCGTGATTCGTGATTCGTGATTCGTGATTATTTTCGGCGACGCGATCTCGTCCGAATAATTGGCTCGCACTCATCGATGATCGTCGCGATTCATTCGACCAGTTTTGCGATCGCGATTAAAGCGCAAAACCGATATCTTCCGATTGTTTGCTCCGCCATGCCGATAATTGAAATGACACGGTGATATCTACATAAATTTTGCATATTGCCGAAAATTTATTCGACTCGAATGGGAAGTCGGAGATCCGCGCAAGTTCATCGGAGAACGGTACAGGCATTTCGATATTCATTAATTTGGTCCGGCGAATTGATTCCGATAATAGAAATGACAAAGTAGTTATCGCGATGCGTGCGACAACTCGTTTCGCGTTAAACACGGTCAACGAATTTCACCGGAACGATCGGGCGGTGCCCGCCAGAGTTGCGCTCAAGTTTCCACAATGAAATGCTAAAGGAAAATTTCGTTTGTATTCGAACGACCTAATACCGGCTGAAACTTAGGTCACCGAGTTAATATAAAGGGAACCTCGAGCCACCGAAAAGGTTTGCCGAAAGCGTACCGTATATAGTAATCGTGTGCTCGAGTTTAATATAAAAGAAAGGGGGAAAAAAAATGTTAGCCGTCGGATACAGCAACGCTGTTCGCTGAACCACTCCTTCTCGCTGGTCGAAACAGTTCTTTTATTAAGTAAAGTTCGGCAAACTGCGGAACTCATTATCCGTGTAATCTACAGGGTCGATGGAAGATTTCATTTTGAGATCGTTATCCGTCGCAATTTGCTCGGTACGGTGAAAAAATCTCGTTGTTGTTGTTCTGTCCCGGTCATCTCGAACGAGACTCCATTCGAACGGATTTGCATAGTTTCACGAACGAAGCTGGATGCGCTCAACCTCGTAACTCTTCCATTCGCTTAACGTTCGGCCGCATATTGATCTCGCGCGGCACGCTTACTGCATATTCGTTTTCGCGACTGCTACGCGTTACTTACCAAGAAGAAGGCCACTTTCAAATTAATTTCCGGTTCAGCGGCTCGAGAATGCAGAGACTTCTATAAATCACGCGCGTATCGCGATACGAAATCATTGCAAATATGGATATTACGGCGGAGAGAGGCAGAGGGAATTGTAGCGGACAAACTCGCCGGTTCCGAAGGTAC